ATGTGAAAAAAATATTACTGAAGAACTAAGAATAATTATTTGTCGCGAATACTGGGAAATGGGCGACTATGATAAGCAAAAATTACACCTGAGTTCATTAGTGACCGATGTTCCAATAAAAAGAAGAAAACAACAAGTAGAACAGTCAAGGCGTAAAACTTCAAGGATTTTTTATTTAAAAAACTTCGAAGGCTTGAGAATTCGAGTGTGTTTAAATTTTTTTTGTAAAACATTTAATATTTCCCATCGGGTAATTGAAACATGTATGAAAAATGTGGGTAATACACACACCTACACTGGATTTGATAAAAGAAAAGGTAAAAGACCTCATAATGTTACAAAGGAACAAGATGTATTGCTTGTCAAGGAACACATTGATAGTTTTCCACGTGTGGAATCACACTATTGCCGGCGAGATTCAACGAAACAGTATTTGTCTTCAGATTTAAATTTATCCCAAATGTACAGATTATACATTGGCTTCTGTGAAAATCGAAACGTGACCAAGGTTTCTAAATTTGTTTATCAGAAGATATTCCACAAATATGACCCAGCATTGGATTTTTTCATTCCGAAAAAGGACCAGTGTTTTAAGTGTAATGCTTACAATACTGCTAAAGACAAGGAGCCATTAAAAGAGGAATTTGACAGTCACAAAAAGAGAGAAAAGGATGCAATGCGGATGAAATCTGAAGATAAGGAAAGAGCCGCTAGAGAAAAAGGACAAACTTTTAGAGCCGCAACATTTGACTTACAAGCAATTTTGTCAGTGCCATTTGCGGGAGACAATCAAATATTTTATAAGTTAAAGCTAAATGTATATAATTTTACAATTTTTGATGCGTCAGATGCAACAGGTCATTGTTATGTATGGGACGAAACCCATGGGAAAAAAGGCAGTACAGAAATAGGAACGTGTCTTCTTAAATACTTGTATAGCTTATCGGAAACTGTGACGCATGTTTCTACATTCAGTGATACATGTGGAGGCCAGAACAGGAATAAGTATGTGTCAGCCGCATTGCTCTATGCAGTAAATACAATTAAACATTTGGAAGTTTTCGATTTAAAATTTATGGAGACAGGGCACTCTTACTTGGAAGCTGATTCGATGCACGCCACAATCGAAAGAGCAAGAAAGCATAAAAAAATATATTCTACAAGAGAGTGGTCTGTGCTAATTTCAGCTGCAAGAGTAAAACCTAAACCATACTGTGTACATAATTTAAATTTCAACGATTTTTATGATCTACAGAAACTTGCCGATCTTATGACTCCTAACAATACTTTAAATACAGATAAAGAAAAGGTTCAGTGGCTGAAAATTAAATGGATTCGTTTTGAGAAAAAAGATCCTTTTTTAATTAAATATAAATACAATTTGTATGATGATACTTTTTTAACCATAGATGTTTCTGATACAAGGAAACTAAGAGGAAGGTCACAAACTTGGGAGTCATTAGCACTAACCCAAAAATATTTCCACAGATTGCCGGTATCCCAAAAAAAGAAGAAGGATCTCTTATCTCTTTTAAATTGTGGTATTATTCCACAAGATTACGCTCATTTTATTAATGACATTCCTGTTACTAATGAAACATTATTACCGGACGACAACGAATAGTTTTTTTTAATATACAAATTCTGTTTTAATTCTTTTTTTAACACATTTTGTTATTTCATTTAAAGAAAAATGTTGAGATTAATTGTTTGTTGTTATTTGAATCAAAACCTGTGTTTTATCATCTGTTCACCGTAACATAAATTGAACATGTTTCCCAAGTAATGGTTATGCACAAAGGTGGTAAGTAACAAAGTATTTAACAAAAACATTACAAGTCATTTTTTTTTAAATGTTATTAATTAAACTGATATTTGATTGTCTTTTGACGTTATTGAAGATAATTTGTGATTTTCTTAGGGATTCGTGATTTAATACAAAGGTTTAAACTTCAAACCGATTTTTCTCAAAACAGTAACTTTAGCACTTACAACATTTGTGTGCTACACCATCGATATAATGTTATATCATATGTGTTTTTATATTATTCCGGTATTCTTTGGACCTTATCTTTCACATGTAAAGCATAGATATTGAAGCACGAATATAACCTTGAGATAAGAGATTTAAAAAGTGTGATAGAATCATAATCTTATCATTTAAATAATTTTAATTAATTAATTAATTAGCTAATTAATTGCTAGGCTCACTAAGATTTTATTATATATATATATATATATATATATATATATATATATATATATATATATATATATATATATATATATATATATATATATAGACATCGTCGAATACTAATAAGAACATAGAATAACATTGAAATAAGGGAGGCTGCACCGTAATTGGAAACGGTCGACAAAGCTGCACATGATGATGATGATGATGATATATATACAGGTTCGTATCAGCATACATGTATATGCGATACATACCTAATAAACCTCGGAAATATGGACTGAAAATTATGGCCCTAACAGAGACAAGTACCAACTATTTCTATAATGGCTATGAAACCACCACAAGCGGTGTTGAGACTGTGTCATCCAATTGCTAATTCATACTGAAATGACACAGCAGACAATTGGTTTTCATGCATAGAATCCTTAGAAATAAAACAAGCTGTGGCACAACTAAAGAACCATAAGGATCCGGGCACAGAAGGAATACTGGTAGAAATGTTGAAGGAGGGGAGTGAAGTTATTCTCGAAGAACTGAAAATTTTTTTCAACGAATATCTTCACAAAGGAGAAGTCCCAGATGATTGGAATGAAAGTTTAACAATACTTGTCTTCAAAAAGAGACACAAGGGGGATCTGAGGAACTCTAGGCCAATCTTCCTGCTGTCCCAAATGTACAAACTGTTTATGAGAGTAATAACTAACAGGTTAACGTCGAAGCTCGATAGCTATCAACCGGTAGAGCAGGCAGGATTCCGAAAGGGTTACAGTACAGCGGATCATCTTCTTACAGTCAGAAGTCTAATAGAAAAATCCAATGAATATTACTTGAACATTGGCTTCGTTGATTATTAAAAGACATTCGACTCCATAGAACTTTGGGCAATAGAGAGAGAGAGAGAGAGAGAGAGAGAGAGAGAGAGAGAGAGAGAGAGGGAGAGAGAGAGAGAGAGCTATGAACAACTGCAAGATAGACTCCCGATACAGAATGCTTACACATAATATTTACAAGAAAGCTACAATGAAAATACAAATAGATGCGAAAACCAAAGCTATACCAATCAACAGAGAAGTTCGCGAGGGAGATATTATCCCACTAAAGCTATTCACACTTGGACGGAAAGACATTAACTGGGCAGATAAAGGAATAAATGTTAATGGAAGAAAACTGAGTCATTTGAGATACGCTGATGACATTGTAATATTCCCTATAAGTTTGGAGGACTATAGACCATGATGACGCAACTATTTCCAGCTTCGGAAAAAGTAGGTCTTAAGATGAACTGGGAGAAAACAAAAATAAGAATACACCGAACATTGGAGAAATAACTTTGAATGGCATAAATTTAGACACAGTAAGCGAATACATCTACCTGGGACAGATAATGAAAGTTAACAAAAAAAATCAAACTGCCGAAATTACCAGAAGAATAAGGTTAGCGCGGGCAAGATTTGTAAAACTGAGTTGGATCTTGAAAAGCACTAAAATATAATATTTGAAAACCAGAATTTACGATCAGTGTACTCCCCAGTAGTACTGGGGAGTCCTCCCTATACCTACGTATGGTTCACAGACGTTCACACTCACTAAGTCTAATATGGATAAAATAGTAAAGTCGCAAAGAGCGATGGAAAGATCAATGCTCTTTAACGTTTCAATCAACCAATTGAACGTAATACCAAGCTCCGATTGGTACTTCGTCCCCCGTACTATATTATTCCAAAGCGACCTCACTAAATTATAAATATTTTTAGTAGCCGTTCCACTCTATATAAGCCATTACGAATTTTTATTGGCTCTCTTCAATCTTATCACTACAATCATTCTTAATGAATGAATGTATACATGGGTATGTCTTTGCTGTATACACGGGTAAGTATCTTTTTCTAGTTTTAGGCCTCTGTTTTTTAATTGTTTTCTTTTGCATAGCAGATACTTTCTTAAAATAAAGCTGAAAACATTTTAACTTTATTTTTTTTACTGTATATATGTACCTATTTTACCTTATTTCCTTTAATATCTTATTAATAAAAATCTTTTCCTACAAACTGATTTTTATTAATGCCACGCTGTGATCAGAGATTTTGCTGAGATCGTTTCTATCTGAATACTCAGCTTTATTTATGATAAGGCTTTTTGGGAGAAAACTGATCTTTGTATGAATTTTCTAGCCACTATCGTGGGGAGCAAGAAATAGACAACCATACTACCGTGGAGAGCAAGAAATCAGCCAACCACAATACCTTGGGCAACAATCAGCAACCACCTATAAATCCATTGATGCATCAGAACATAATTTGAAACCCATTTACCAACATGGGACTAAAATGATTGCCATTATCTAGAGCAACAACTCTTCTTAACCCAACCAACAACCACCGACAGCAGCTAACTTCCACAAAGATCGGAACCCTTCCTGGAGAACTGAACGACTGCTTCAAAACGAACTAAAGCTGAGTGCTTTTTTAATCTTTAGTACCGGCAACCGGCAGAATCTTTTAGCATCAGTTTAAAAATTTAGTGGTGGGTTTTAAAGGGGTTGGAAATTCACCCAAATTCTAGTACGGTAAACCTACTGGAAAACAGCAGAGAAGTGAGAAGACCTAAGAGACCCAAACCTTTGGAATTACCAGAGAGATTTCATAAGTAAATTGTTTAGAATATAAAATTTGTTTTTTTTTAATATTCGCTCATGTCAATTTTTCTGTTTGAGTTATCAAATTTGATAATTGTCCTAGCAGGACAGAACGCAAATCTTTACTTGGAAAATTAAAAAAGGGTATCAAATAAAAACAACCGCTATAAACAGTATATATATTTACACATAAAAATCAGACCCAAATATAAATCTAATATATATTATGGAGATAACTTCATACCTTAACCTGTGGAGTGACGATAATACACTCGTATATATAAAAAAAAATTTCTTCAGTATCTTCTATGAGTATACCTTCATTTTCTATCACTTATCGAATATCAATCTGGGGTTCAGCTTGGGCCTTCTTAGCGCGCTGTCTTTTCAATTTTAGAAGGTGTTTTCCTAAGAAATAGATGCCGACGTACACTATTGGTACCCAGTGATAGACGCTGTTGTAGTAATCCATTATTCTTCTAATTTCTAATAAAACAAACGAAATGCTTTGGTAGGAGAACATTTGCATCTTTAGGAAGAGTAACAGCAGTTTTGCAAGTTGTAAAGACTGAAAAAGAATTAGTATTTTAAATAAGTTATGTTTGATTAAGTATAATAAATTATTTAAAGTATAATTATTACGAAGTCAAAAACGTATTCAATAAATTCTCTTCTCATTTTGAACTCTCGATCTTTTTTTGTATATATATCAACAATTCCTTTAAACAAATTAGAATAGGAGGCAAAACTTCAAAGGCTTTCGGCATAAGCACCGGGCTCAGAAAGGGAGACCCGCTGTCCCCATTACTATTTAACCTAGCATTGGAATACGCAATGCGAAAAATCTATACCAGAGTCAAACCAGACAACTGCCAGAGGAGCAAAGATTATTCTCGCATTTGCAGATGATGTAGATGCAGTAGCACAGACAACACTGGAAGTTAAGGATATAGTATCGAACTTTGAAGAAGCAACACTAAGCGTAGGCCTGAAAATAAACGAAGAAAAAACTAAATACATGGTCGTATCAAAAAAGGAACGACAGCGAATAAGACAAAACATTACCATAAACGATCATAATTTTGAGGTGGTCAAAGAATTCAAGTACCTAGGAGCAACAATTACCAGTGAAAACACAGGAAAACGGGAGGTTGAAATACGAATACTGGCGAGGAATAAATCATTCTTTGCCATTCAACATCTAATGAGGTCAAAGCTTCTCTGAAGGCGTGTCAAAATCCAAATGTACAAAACCATAATACGACCAGCAGTGGCATATGGAAGTGAAACATGGACATTGAGAAAGAAAGAAATCAATAAGCTATTAGTATGGAAACGCAAAATCCTGCGAATTATATATGGTCCTTGCAGGGACAGCGTGACAAATGAATGGATGAGCAGATACAACAATGAAATAGAGACTCTCTTCGGGAAAGGAAACATCGTAAGATACATAAAAGCGAATAGATTAAGATGGGCAGGCCACGTGGTACGGAGTGATGACGACAGACTGATTAGCAATGTGTTTTGGGAAAAACCAGATAGTAGAAGATCAACAGAAAGGCCTAGAAAAAGGTGGAAAGACGCAGTCAGGGAAGACCTGGAGAAGATGGAAGTAAGGCCATGGGAAATAATAGCACAGGATTGGAATCAATGGAAGGCAATAGTAAACGCGGCAAAAACTCACGAAGAGTTGTAAAAGCCAATGATGATGATGATCTTTTTTTGTGTATATGAGTCATTAGGTAGACGGTTGAGAAATACGATTGCGTCTTCATACGTGAGCGGTCCAATAAATACTTAGCCTTACTTACCGCCCGATGGTGCCACTTTCTCCAGAGAAATCTACTATCTTGTAATACATTCTCATTGACGTCTAATGTCAAAATTTCAGCCGAATTGGACCTATAGTTTTGTTTTGACCGCGTGTCAAAGTGGGCGTGTCCGCGGATTTTAGAAAAGTGGAAAAAGAGCAATTCGGTACGGTGACTCTTCGATGGCATCCGTCAAAAATTTGTTTAACGAGTTTAACGAGGATATCGTGAGAAAACTCCACGATATCGTATTGGCAGACCGCCGACTAAAGGTGCGCAAAATAGCTGAGACAGTAGAATAACAAGCGTCAACCGTGAAACCAATTCAGAGCAGTCTTTGACGATATTTAAGTGTAATCCGAAGTAGTTTTACGTCGTTTCGTAACCTTCGACGAAACATGGATCCATTGGTACACACTAGAGACCAAAGAAAAGTAGAAACAGTAGACGTCACGCGGAGAACGTGCTCCGCAGAAGGTGAAGAATGTCCTATAGGCAGGAATGGTGATGGCCTTAATTTTCTGGGATTCACAAAGGGTCAGCTACATCTACTATCTGAAGAAGGACAAAACGATCATAGTACTTTTCCACTATGACAAATTGGTCAAATTGGGCTACGAAGTGTTGCCCCATCCATCGTATTCTCCAGATTTGGCCCCGTACGACTTCTTTTTGTTTTCAAATTGAAAAAAGCACTTGCCGTTCAGAAATTTAAGTTGAATGAGGAGGTCATCGCTGCCACGGAAGCCTACTTTGCAGACCTCGAGAAAACGTATTTTTCAGACCGGTTAAAGAAGTTTGAGCGTCGCTGTGTCAAGTGTATCGAGCTAAAAGGAGACTATGTTGAGAAATAAATCACCACTTTTCCAATATTTTCGTTTTTCTTTTGTACGCTAAGTATTTATCGGGCCGCCCTAGTGCAATTGGAATTATTGTATTAAAAGTTAATTAGAAATTATAGTTTTTATTTAATATAATTATATATTAAAATACTTACCACACCTTCAGCGCCATCTAGTAACAATTTCACCCAGACATCTTCGTAGAGAAGAGCAAACGGTACAGTGGCTATGCAGAAATAATACCCAGCATAAACTCCATGCCATAATGCAGACATGAACATGGTAACATGAGTGCGGTATTTTTTATATGGGAACTTTCTGTAAATAATAATAATAAATAATCAGTAAAAGTCAAACAACTCTGCCTCTGGTAGTGACTGGGTGGATTGAGTAGCTCAGTAACTATCAGTGCCAGTCCCAAGCCTGGATAAAGGAGGAGGGTTTGCGCCAGGCAGTAAATAACACCTTGCTAAAACCAAGGAAAGAAAGAAAATACGAATAGGGCTACTTCTTAGAGAACGGAAGGGACTAGTCCTGATAATTGCAACTGTCAGCGTCGGAAGTATGACAGCTAAAGGAAGAGAGCTCGCTCATGCGGAGGAGAAAGATTGATGTACTTTGTGTACAAGAAACTCGTTGGAAAAGTAATAAATCGAGAGATCTTGGAGATGGATGCTAGTTAATATAGGTATAGTAGTGCGAACAGTCATTGCAGAAATGGAGTATTCTTTTAAACAATGAGTGGAAGGAATATCTAGTAAGGATAACCAGAACAAGTAATGGAATACAGGCGATATCAACGTTAAGGTGTAAAAAACAAGAAAAGGAAGAATTTTGGAATGTCCTGGGTAGAGAAAGAGCGGGAATAGAAAGAGTTCATGAAGGTTGGAGGACCGAATAAAAAATGATGAAGGAAATACTGCGATTGACTGTGCAGCGGCATGTAATTTGGCTGTGATTAATATGTTAATAAAGACTGAAGACTAGTATGTTGCCGATAGTAGCGGGAGAAGGGAAGGCCAGATAGATTTTGAGCTGTGTAGAAAAAGCCAGCTAAAAGAGAGTCAGTTAAAGGTGAGCCGAAAAGGAAAGCAAGTAGAATATCAGAAAGTAAAGTGGTGGAATTTAAAGGACAATGATTTACTAAAAGTCTTCATGAGTAGAGTGCTGGAAGTATGTGAGGAGGAATATATGGTAAATGACTGGTGGAAACCCTACAGCAAAGTTGTGATACAAGTGCAAGAGGAAGTGCTAGGAAAAACATCTGGCAAAGGGTCTCCTAGCGAAAAAGAAACTTCTTGGTGGAGCGATGAGGTGTAACTGAAGGTAAGGGAGAAGAGAGACTAGAAAGAGGTAGTTTTTCAGTAAAGCGAATGCGAGTTGACCACCTGGCCCGCTTGGGCCGACATATATGTTTTATCGACTATCAAAAGACCTTTGATCAAGTGAAGTGCAATAAACTTTGAAGTATCATGACAGAAATGGGAGTACCTTATCATCTCGTCCACTTTATTGGCAATTTGTACACAGCTCTACAAGCCAAAATCAAAGTAGAAGATAGATTAAATGAATGTTTCTGGATACACAAACCTAATTTTACAGTTACTAAAAGAAAGTTTACTTTACCTGTATATGTAAGTGGCTAACCAGTATTGGATAGTGATGTTCCAATGTTTCATGGCTTCTCTCATTGTAGGAACACAGTCTGACTCATAAGGGTTTATAGATTGGATAGTTTCATAATCATATTTGAGTCCTTTTAAAACTTCTGGGTCAGTCCTAAAGAAAAAATACATAATTTTTGACTATAAAATGATTTGTTATCTAAAATTGTACCACGAATTTCATAGTTCATCAACTACATTTTGTTCAATTCGAAAAAACGTGTGAGGCATTTAGTCTCATAAATGAACGTGAAATACACCACTGAATTGCATGAATTTTGGATTCAGATTCTATTTATGTCAATGTATAATGTCATTGTCTCCACTGACTTCCAGTGAAATTTGGATTTAGGTTATACTTACCCTCCACTTCAAAATTGAACTTGTGCTGTTGGTTGCTTTTTATTTTTAGGGGTGAAAATGACCCCTATTAGAAAAAAAGTTTTTAGTTATTTGAGCAAAACCGTCTGAAAACGTGGTTTTTATTTTACATGAACATTTTCACTCGCAAATAACTCAAAAAATATTGGCTTATTAAAAAGCTATAGAGTAAAAGTTGCTTAGAATTGGTCAATTTATGGGTCACCCAAGTAAAAGCAACTAATTTAATTATTACTAAAATTATAGTTTAATTTCAACTTACGTTTCCTTGAGTTTTTTGTAGTTTTGCGTTGGTCCATGACCAGATTTGGCTTTTGCGAATTCTGGATATACTCCCAAACCTCCAAAGATACACACAATTTCAGTGAGTACCAGTCCAAAATATATTCTACTTCTAAATATTACAAATGACGGCCAGACATACCACGCTCTATAGAAAAATGACCTATTCAAAAACTCTTCCGTATTTACGTACTAAAAAATAATGAATAGAGTTATAGTTCTCTTTATTTATAAATTGTAAATTATTTGTAGGAAATTTTGTTGCAATTAAAAAAAAAGTTTCGTAGGAAATCCATAAATCATCACCATTGGCTTCACAGTCCAGGCTTGTTTAATTAATTAATCCCTCCATTAATTCCTATTTCTAGTTTTCTAGTTTCTACTTCCCTCTAATCTACGTATATCCTATTATAGTAGTTATCGCATTACATTGGATCTCCCTTTTTGAATATGAGGGTATTAAGGGTACAAGACAGTAAGAGAAAGCAGATAGGAATTCAAAGGGGGGTCAGACAGGGATGTATTCTATCACCACAATTGTTTAATGTATACTCACAACTCCGGATGTACATGGACAGAACATAACTTCAGCAGGAACAGTTACATAAGGTTTTAAATGAACTTAATGCTATAAAAGAACAGGGAAAGAATGCCTAATTTTATCAATGGTAAATCTAAGATTGTAAAAACCAGTGGCCAAAAATACCAATAAGAGGGAGATCTCTTTCACAGAAGTTCTTCCACCAAAATTCTGGTGGCATTAGAACAAAAATTGAATGTTTAAGAATCTTAGTTTTGGCATGCCAAACAATTCTGTAATTTCGTTAACTCATTTAAAAAAGACTATGGCATTCCCAATAATTTGTTCTTAGACAATAAGTGCTGTGATACTGGATCTGGAATAGCTAACATTTTTGCATCTTATTTTTCTTTTGTTTATCCTAATGAAGTCTATAATATCGCTCTTGCAGAAGTATTCTCAAATATTCAAAGTTTAAAGGATGAGCTATGGCTCTGATAAGATCCCTTCTGATTTTCTAAAAAGATATTTATACTTTGAGTAAACCCATTTGCATGATGTATAATCAGTCATTTGTAACAGGGTTTTTCCAAACACGTGGCAAAACAGCTTTGTCAAGCTCCTACATAAATTAGGTGACAAGCCTGTTAAACACTACCGTCCTATCAGCAAGCTAAATGTAATTCCCAAGTTGTTTGAACTACTTGTGACAAAATTTCTTTCTTGGCATTGTAAGACTCTTATCATTGATTAGGAGCGTAGTTTTGGCCCTGGAGTAACTAGTCTCTTGTTATTCCAAAATGATATAATTAATTCAATAGATCAGATGTATGCTATTTATATTGGTTTTAATAAAGCCGTTGGTACGATAAACCATGCTGCTATTATCAGGAAATTAGATAGAATGAACTTTCCAATATGGCTTATCTTGTGGTTATCAAGTTACCTTAGTAACAGAAGTTAGATAGTTAAAATTAAGAATCACTTATCTAATCCCATTTCAGCTCTTTCTGGTGCTCCTCAAGGACCTCACCTTGGACCCTTGATTTTCGACCTGTTTATAAATGACATTGGATTGGATTTTCAGTTTTTCAAATTTTTATTATTTGCAGATGATCTTAAGTTAAATGCAAGAGTAACCAGTGTTAATGACTGTATTAATTTGAATAAGGATGTAGCCGCTCCTCAGAATTGGTTAATGGCTAATGAAATGAGTTTGAATATAGGTAAATATTACTGTATTATATTGTCTAGATTTAGAGTTCCTATTGTCTTTGATTACCAACTTTGCAAGACATCACTCAAGAGAGTAAATGTGATGAAGAACTTGGAAGTTTTCTTTGATTCTTCTTCTTCTTCAGATGCAAATCCACTAATGGATGTTAGCGATCACATTTTCCATTAATTCCCTATTTCTTGCAATATGTATCAGAGATTGTATGTCGTTAATCCCTGTCCATTGCCTTATGTTTCGGAGCCAGGACATTTTCTTGCGTCCAATTCCTCTCTTGCCTTCAATTTTACCCTCGATTATAAGTTGGAGGAACTGGTATTTTTCATTTCGCATGATGTGACCTAGATACGCCATTTTCCTTTTCTTGATGGTTTCGAAAAGTTGGCATTCTTGGTTTATTTTTTTAAGGACATCAATATTTGTGATTTTCGCTGTCCATGGTATTTTTAGGATACGGCGATAAAGCCACATTTCGAAAGCTTCTAATCTGTTTATATCCCTCGTTTTGAGTGTCCAGCCCTCTACGCCATATAGCAGCACTGACCATACGTAGCACTTAGTAAACCTTAGTCTCAGTTGAAGATCGAACTCTGAACAAGTCAGTACCTTCTTGAATTTTACGAAAGCTTGTCGAGCTTGCTCAATACGACATTTTACTTCCCTTCATTGATTCGCAGGTATATTTTTATCACCATTATAATTCAATTGCTAGTAAATCTCTTCAAATGCTTGGTTTTGTTTTGGATAAATCAAGGTAACTTTGCAGTAGGCCTCTAATGAATGGTGTCCGTTCTACCAAATCTATGTTATTGTCATTGAAAAACTTTAGCATAAATTTCTATAAATTGAAAAGACATTTGCGTACATACACCTATGAAGATATCCTAATGCAAGTTAAGCTTCATCCTCTGGAAAATCGCAGGATAATATGAGATGCAATAATTCTTTTTAAGCTGTTATCTGCCCACAAATATTATCCTGCCCCATAATAGGGTTACCAGTAATACAAAATTATGTACAAAAAACATTGAGTAAGTAGATAATTTCTCAAATAGTTTTATACTCAGATAAAACAACGGCATTTATTATTCAGAATGAAAATATCTTGAAACCTACCGATAACGGCCAGTAATAATTGGTAATCAGATGAGCTGCACCCAAAATGGGAATCCAGTGTATCCTTTTCTTAAGAGCCGTAACAATATTGTCGTATTTATAGTAAGGCTTATATAAATGGTCCAAGTAGGTAACATATCGGAAATATGGACCTAGAATCGTAAAATGAAATATAATAAATAAATAAAATCTTAAATTGTGAACAACTAATAGTACATAAAATTGATATTAACAATAAAGAAAATAAATCAAATATTATCGAAGAGCTTCATAACTTATCCAGGAGCAGAGTGAGTTTCATGCTACTTCTAATCCGTACGTTCCTTACTCAGAAACAACTTATTTAATACCGAAAGATCAAAAAAACACCCCAGATTCAATCATGTACTGCACAATTATGTCTCTTCCAACCGTGTACAAATTGGTCATATCCTGTGTAGCCCAGCGCATTTATAAACACTGCACATGAAACGTGGTAGGTCTCAACTTGCGTGGGGGAGGGGCTTTGAATTGAGTAGGGACCTTTCACTACTTTGCGTAAGACAGACTAGGCGGGGAAGTCCTCAACTTCGAAACGGGCGCGTCCCAATGGCTGATAGGGAAAGTTCCTGCAGATATGCAGGGCAGGTACGAATAAGGCATAACCAAATAAGTACCCGCGGATCAACTGAGGACATGGCATTAGGCAGCAGTAATGTCATTACTGGATTAAGGCTGTGGGATTGTAAAAAATCCTGTAGGCTTAATTCTAAATACTCACAGGCGCCACTCGCATTATAAGTCAAATGACTGTGACACTGCGATGGGGAAGGCAACGGAAAACCACCCCATAAATAGTCCCTAGTTCATTCGTCATGGTTAATGTAAACCTATTTGGAGAAGGTACTGATAAAGGACTTCGGATACCAAGATCAGACAGGGAAGAAAGAACGAAAAAATATAAGGCTTCCTAGGTCGTCAACCCTAGGACATCCTTACCAATATGTAAACACTAATAGAGAAAAATTGTGCACGTGAAACGTTAAAAAAATCTGTACTTGGAATGTCCGAAGTATGTTTAAAGGAGAAAAGATACACAACACCATTCAAGAAATGAAAAGACTAAATATCAACGTGATGAGTTAAATTACTTTTGAATCGATTTTTAAAAAATCAAATTTGTCACTGTTTAATCCGAGGAAAGATCAGTGCAATTTATGTTGTGCTCATAAAAGTGGAAACATTTCTGAAGCTGAGTATAATATACAAAATAAAGAAAGATCAGGAATTGAAAAAAGACACGACAAAGAAAAAGCCTTAAAAGGTGAAGCACATGTGTTTACGCAAGATCTTCAAGCCACCAAATTAGCTCTGATGACCCAAGCCAGCACATTTTGTTATAAGAAAGTTAAATTTACATAACTTTACTATGTATAACCTACACACTCATGACGCGGTTTGTTACTGGTTCGACGAAACAGCCACAGAATTGGTAATAGTATCCTTTCCTCTTCATTTGCTTCATGCATTATATATAATTTGGAAAACGCTTTGCAAGAACAGTTTTGTCTAAAGCACTGTTACACTTCAGTAAAGAATGGAACATTACTATCGAGCAAACATTTTTGACCAAGGGACATACACAGATGGAATGTGACTCCGTTCATAGCGCGATTGAAGCAAAATTAAAAAATCGAGGTATTTCTGTTCCCGGTCAGTATTCCAAAAGTATATTACAAAAGAGGCCCGACGTAAACCATTTCTTAATATTGTTCTGAAGCTATTTTCTTGTGGCATTGTAAATTAATTACTATTAAACTGGGAATAAGCCACAATTAAAGATAAAAATACGTTTATTGATGTTTCAATTTCCACTTCGGAAATCGTTCTCAAAATACAAACAGGAAATAAACAAATTTTGTTTTTTGTTACATAGTGAAAAATTCTTCTAATAATTTAATTTTATCTGACTCATTTATATTCACAATTCAGACATACATTATGCATTTTAAAGTAGACGACTTTAAAATGATATTGCCAATATTGTTGAGTTGCGCTCCTGAGACGACTTTACTTATAAGATAGTTCATTCGATTACATGAAATCAACTTTCACTTGAGAATATCCGTCAGAAAAAAATCATAGCATGTAATTCGTCTTTAAAAAGACAAACACATGACATGATGACAGTAAAATTCTCCTGTTAGTGATTCCATAGTAAATTATTTGGTCTAGCAATGGGCTCTAGTTTATCTCCATTCTTAACCGATATATTTATGGAAGATTTTGAAACAAATATCATTTCTAAACAAAATTTCAAACCCACAGTATGGTGGAGGTATGTAGATGATGTATTCTCAATATGGCCTCATGGATCAGAGTTGTTGGAAACATTCCTAAATGATATAAACGATAAAGAAGAGACAATAACATTTACCATGGAAAAGGAATATAATAACACGCTACCTTTCCTGGATGTTTTAATCTCTAAGAACGATACTGGATATGAGACTCAGGTGTATAGAAAACCAACACACACCAATAGATATTTAAATTTCAAATCAAATCACAATATTAATGTAAAAAAGGGAATAATTAAATCCTTATACGATAGAGCCAAAATTACTTGTTCTAACGAAAATTCGTTCTTGGAGGAGAAACATTTGTTAACATCTGTTTTATTAAAAAATGATTATCCTTTATCGTTTATAAATAAGGAATTTTCAACAATCGATCGAATAGAGCAGAACAACTTAGAACGAGATCCTACAGCATACACGAGGAATAATATGAGGAAAATAACAATACCGTACATAAAAGGACTATCAGAAAAACTTAAAAGGATAGAAAATAAATTCAACATTTCAACAACATTCAAAACAACAAACACGTTGAGATCTATTTTGTCCAAAACCAAACCTAACAATGAACAAGAAAGGACAAAGAATTGCATTTATAAAATACCTTGTGAATGCGATCAGTTTTATTTAGGTGAATCATCAAGGCCATTAAATATTAGAATAAGTAAACATCAATCTTATATTAAAAATAGAGAATTTGATAGATCTCAAATCTGTAAACACGCATGTGATAATGAACATAGGGTTCAATGGAATAATTCAAATGTAGTCCTAAAAGAAACGGATGGTAAAAAAAGAAAAATCAAAGAAGCGGCTCTAACTATGCTGAATGAGGCCAATTGTGTCGCAAATTCCTCGGCAGAATGTAGTAGGATCTGGTTACTAATATTGAAAGAGGAAGTTATTAACAAGAAAATACCAGTATTAGTAAGTCAGTAACATAATTTTTTTATAACGTAACATATAAAATCAGAATTTTGATGTTTGCTGAAGGTAAACTAAATTCACGAACAAATACTTACAATGTCGGGATAGTATTATAAGGTTTTTTTTTCCTGGTTTTTCCCTCATAATTTACTATGGAATCACTAACGGGAGAATTTTACTGTCATCATGTCATGTGTATGTCTTTTTAAAGACGAATTACATGCTATCATTTTTTTCTGACGGATATTCTCAAGTTAAAGTTGATTTCATGTAATCGAATGAACTATCTTATAAGTAAAGTCGTCCCAGGAGCGCAACTCAACAATATTGGCAATATCAGTTTAAAGTCGTCTACTTTAAAATGCATAATGTATGTCTGAATTGTCAATATAAATGAGTCAGATAAAATTAAATTAGAAGAATTTTTCACTATGTAACAAAAAACAAAATTTGTTTAATTTACTGTTTGTATTTTGAGAACGATTTCCGAAGTGGAAATTGAAACGTCAATAAACGTATTTTTATCTTTAATTGTGGCTTATTCCCAGTTTAATAGTAATTAGTAAACCATTTCCATATAGAAGTTACTATCTGGAATATTAATTGTTTAAAGATTATTATCAGAAATTTTTTTAATTTATGACTCCATAAGACCAGGCAGATCAGCTGGTGATTCAACTGTAGTGGATATTAAGGCCATAAAATATAGTAACGAAGAAATAACTATAAAAACGAATTTTGATGACTATTTTGACTATTCTGCTTTACCAAGAAGACAAAAAAAAATCATTCATGATAATTCACTAGCGAATGCTCCCCTTTAAACCAAGAGGAGCGAAAGTTGACCTATTTAAAATGGAACAACCTCCTAGAATTAAAACTTATTTTGACGCATGATTGTCATTCGTATTACAATCAGCCGCCACATGATCAAAAGGATAGTTAAAAAATCTTTTTCATTATCAATGTTATTTTCTGTTTAACAAATAAATACCTCCTTTGTAAGTTGTTTATTTATTATGCATTATTTATTATGTATACAAAACCGCCTATCATACTTTTATATAAATTTATAATACAAAATTCCGCTTAAGGATAAAACAAACTGCAATTATGTAAATTCGCTACAATAATGATATACCCGTGTAAAGCTTAATTAAACATGGAAAGCTGTACCACCTTGACAGTCATTGAAGTAATAAAAACAATTTAAGACAAATTAATTATTCAAATAAATTAAATCTTTATACATATAGAAAATTAGCGTATTTATCACTTAAAAAATCTCTATAATCGGTTCACAATTTTTCGATAGCTCACTACAAGTTTAACCCTAATTAGAGAACTGAAATACAGAGAGGATAGGTAATACGATATAATAGTAAAAACCAACCTGAAACAGAGGGTTTAAATTGTTTTCGACTAACCCACCTTGTATCTGAAGGAATACAATGCAGTGGTCAACCTTATAATCCGATTACGAAGGTATTTTGGTTACGGATGATCGGCCAGTGTCGTAAAGTATATGACTGAAATATTTATTTGAACTAAATAAATATATTTTTTAAATTGTACTTATGTAAATTGTATTTTTGTTTTAATAAAACTTCTTTATTTTATTCAAAAATAAAAAGTTTCTTGCCATTTGTAAAAGATACATTTATTTAATTAAAGGGAAAGGCGCCAAATATCGCCTGGCAAAATTTTCAATGCGTTTTAAATGTATCCATTATTTTCGAACCCGGAGAAAACTAATAAATATTTTTGAAAAATTTAAACGCAGAATGAAAGATTACATTGTTACTGAGGGCAGAAAGTCCCTGAAAACTTCTACAATGTTTATTTTAATATGTTATGTAACGGGGGTAAAAATAAAAGAGAAAATA